TTTTTTTCTTCTTTGTTTTTTTTTTTTTTTTTTTTTTTTTTTTTTGAGATGTGGCCTTGCTGCTATTTGTTGAGTTGCCCAGACTGGGCTAGAACTTTCAGTCCTCCTACCTGAGCCTCCCAGAGTGCTGGGATTAAAGGCATATGCTCCATGCCTAGTTTAAAATTTTTCCTTTCCAGGCCAGGGATTTAGCTCAGTGGTTCTGCCACCTGCCTCACAAGCAAATGGTCCCAAGTTTGATCACCAGTACCAAAAAAAAAAAGAAATCTTCCTTTTCAGCCAACATCCAGAGTCCTCCCTTGAAGGTAATCTCACCATACTATATTTGAAAACTGGCTAAGAATTCAAGATTTACCTGAGTTAAGTAGTTTTGTGCTTGAGTATATATTGTCCTTTTACTTTAAATATTGTGTATTTATATGATACATTTAAAAACTCATTTGGGGGCCGGGATTTAGCTCAGTGGTGCTGCTGCCTCCCTCACAAGCACAAGGACCTGAGTTCAATCCTTGGTTCCAAAAAAAAAAAATATTTGGGACTGTTTCTGAGAAAGGTATTGACTATAAAAGTCAACTTTTGGAGGGGTGATCTTTATTTATTTATATCAAAGTATAATAAACACTAGCCGGGCGTGGTGGTGCACGCCTGTAATCCCAGCTCTCGGGAGGCTGAGGCAGGAGGATCGCTGCAAGTTCAAGACCAGCCTGGGCTACACAGTGAGTTCCAGGGCAGTCTGAACTACATAGTGAGACCCTGTCACACACACACACACAAAAAAAAAGAAGCAGTTTTGGGCTAAGCTAGGCCAAACACTGTGATTCTTGTTTTCGGTTTTTGTTTTCACAGTAGGAGGGATTAGACCCAGGGTCTTACACATGCTCAGCAAGTGCTGTACCACTGAGTTATGCCCCTAGCAAGCCAGGGGAAACAAGAATCCTTTGTGATGGGAAAACACAGGAAGACTGTAGGACTGTTTGGGTCTCTACAGCTGGTTCAGGTTCTGTTCAATAGTGAAGTAGGTGACAGGTTAGTGAACAAAATTAGTGATATATGTGAAGCATGTATACTTCTGTCCTTGCCTTTTCATTTTCTTCATTTGTGTTAACTGAATAATCAAGTTAATTTTACTGAGACTGGCTGGAGGTAGAAAACATTAAGACCCTTGCATATTATATTTGGTATTAAAGTACATTATGACTTTAGTTATATGCAGCAGAGATGTATTAAAGTTTCCCACAAAACAAATCAAAAGTTAAGGGCTGGGGATTTAGCTCAATGGCACTGTGCCTGCCTTTCAAGTGGAAGGTCCTGAGTTCACTCCCTGGTACAAAAACAAAAGTTGAAGGCCTTTACATTGCTTGATGAGTTTTATAGCATCAGAAGAGAAATCAGTGCGTAACAATAGCACTCTAAAATTAAAGTCATTTAAATTCTACCTAAAAGAGGAATTAATACAGCAGATGCCACTGTAGTCTCAAAGCTATCAGCATTCTTCATCAGGATGCCGCAGCTGCACGGAAACACTGAAGAAAGCTTTGGAAGATTAGTCTGAATGTTGATCTTCTTGTGGACCTTTTTTTGGGGGGGGCGGGATATAACTCAGGACTTTGCGCTTGCCATGCAGGCAGCAGAACCACTGAGCTAAATCCCTGGCCCTATAGATCTATTTTTATTGCTTCATGGAGGACTGTGTTGGGCTCTGCTATAAAATGAATTTAAGTTTAAATTCACAATGTACAGTCATGATTCTGTGCATTGGTTTTTGTTGTTGTTATTGTTGTTGTTTTGGTACCGGAGCTCAAACTCAGGACCTTGTGCTTACAAGGCATGCGCATTGCCACTGAGCCAAATCCATGGTCCCTGTTTTTGTTTTTTGAAACAGGGTCTTGCTATGTAGTCCAGGTTTGCCCAGACTTACTCTGTAGCCTATGTTGTCCTCAAACTTGAGGCAATTCTTCTGCCTCATCCTCCTGGGTGCTGGGAGTACAGGCGTGCACTACCATACCCAGCAGATTCTGTGAATTCTTAGCTTTAAAGTTTCACTAGTAATTTTAGAACTGCTTTGCACGTAAAGATACAATAAGAGATGGAAACCTCTGAACTGTCTTGGCCAAATCATCTCTTGGTATCTTCAGATAGTTGGTTCTATAGGACCACCACCAGCCCACACCATCTCCCACTGCATACCACCACTGCATCTTGTTTATACTAAAATCAGCAGAGGATCAGTCTCTCCCGTACAGCTGCATAGTGTTTGTACATATCCTGTGGATAGCCTCCCACGTAGTACTCCTAAATGTGAGTTAGCAAAGGTGTTAGATTTGGAAGCATTTTCTACCATGGTGATAGGCAGTACTATTATACAGTGAGTCAGATGCGCATGTACCAAACCATTTTTCTTGCTGTAGTTTAATGGAATGGGAAAACAGTAGGAAGGGTTGCCCATGGAGAGGAAGGAGCAAAAGCAATTAGGGGGCGGGGGATTTAGCTCAGCAGCACAGTGCCTGCCTGGCAAGTAAGGTCCTGAGTTCAATCCCCGGTACCAAAAAAAAAAAACAATTAGGAATCAAGGTTGGATGCTGTTTATGATCTTAACAGGTTCACCTTGATGTTCTAAAGTCTAGGATAGTAAACTGAATAACCTGTAGTTAACCTTGACAATTAACTTCTTGATGCATCTGCTCTCTGATAACAGACACCCCAGATAAGCAACTAACAGCAGTTTTTAACATTCTCCTGCCCTTGGCTAGCACTATCCTCAGTTATTAGTGAGCAAATTAGAGACGGCCTTCCAACTCAGAAATGGCTGTGTTTTAATGTTACCTGGCATTGTCTAATTTCCTGCTGTGAGGGAATATTCTTTTCAATGAATCTATCGGTATCATATTTATTGGCATTGGTGATGGAGTTAGATTTGGGAAACTTACTGAACTTTTCTCTATTTGTAATCTCTGCTTGTCCATAAAGAGGAAGGCTGATGTATTGCTGCTTGGTGTGTTACAAAGGATTTGATTACAATTTCTAAATAGAAGACAGATTGGCCCAGACTGTCTCCTCTGAGGAAATTTCAGACTACAGATGGGTGCAAGTATCACTTCTAATAGGATGTGGCTAAGAAGCAGTGGTCTTTGTGGTGAATGCAGAGCTATAAATCAGCAAAAGTATGTTCTTTATGCACATAGTGCGGCAGTGATCCATGGGTACCTTTTAGAGAGATAAACTCACATCTTTTGCTTTGAAGTTCATTTCCAAGGGAAATGTACAAATGTCATAACTTGAAGGCTTTACCCTGGTCATCCCATGGTTAAATGTATGTGGGAGGTAGCACTTCCAAGAGCTTCCATGTACACAGTGACTTCATCATTACAGCCTGTAATTGCATTGCCTTGCAGATGAGATCCTAAAATTCAGGGTCAAGCCACCTGGGAGGTAAACGCTACTTCTGTGTGCTTTGCACTTTCTAAATTTAAACTTGAGTTACAATTCCACTCTTTAAGCAAAGATATGAATAGAATAATGAGTGCCGGCATATCATTTTCACAGAAGAGCTGCAATAAATTGCATCATTGGTGTCAAGCCTCCTCGTCACAAAGTGGAATTCATAGTTGTGTACTGCCACTTGCTTGTATCTAAAAAAAAAACAAAACAACAACTCATTTCTGTCATCAGCTTGCCTAGATATTTAAACTGGACAGTCAGGGGCTAAGAGTGTAGCTCAGTGGTAGAGCCTGTGGGGAAAAAAAAAGAACCCAGAGAGCCGGTGAATATTTAGATGATTGAGGATGAAATTTTTTTTGCTCAGTTTAGACAGTCTGCTCAATAAATAACTTAGATTTAGCCAGAGAGATGGGGGTGGGTGGAGGGGAAGGGATTATATCCTACCCATTACACTTTATGTGGAAGAGAGGCTTGAGTGGTGGTGAGCAGCTATAATCCCAGCCTTCCGCCAGACTGAGGCAGAAAGATTGAAAAATCAAGCATAGCCTGAGGCAATTTAGTGCTTAGCCAGACTCCCTCAATTGTTTGTTTGTTTGCTTGTTTGTTTGTTTTTTAAGGGCTAGGGATGTAGCCTCATTAGTAAAAAGGATCTGGGTTCAATCCCCATTGCTGAAAGAACAAAGAAAAGAGGCTTAAATTTACATAGCTTAATTCACCTTATAGTGTTCATCCTAAGAATTATAATTTCTTTTCTTTTTTTTTTTTTTTTCTGGCCCCAATTTGAAGATAACATTGGAAGGACGCTCGCTTGGATTTGTATCCAAGCCAGTTGGACACAATGTCTGTAGTTTTTCTTATTGATTACCATGACTTCTGAAAGTTTGTCTTGTGTGAAACTCAGCATGAGGCCAGAACGTTAGTCATCTCTCCCTGTCACTTAATACCTGGCAGCGACACCACCCCATGATTGATGGGTGAGTGCATGACACTGAGTGGTGCTGGCAGGAACTACTGCTTGAAAAAGACAGCTGTGTCCTTTTCCTCTCTTTGAGAATTTTTACAATAAGATACATGCCCCAAATTAATTCTGCTCTTTGAAAAATCCAGTTTTCCTGCACAAATTTTATATCTTTGGGGATGTATTTCGCTCTACCACCCTTTACCTGGTGAAGAACAACATGATCTTGCTTATTTTGCAATCATTTCCCAAGTGCTGTACTGACCAAGTTAGCCACCTTCTTGGTGGCAGCTCTTGGCACCATAACAGCATGAGCTTCTGAACTTGCACCATACTCTTATCGTCAGCCAAATTGCAATGTTTTGGTTCACTTGGAAAATCAAGGTTACAATTTGCGTTTACAGAATGAAATTTCCCAGCAGTGTTTTGTGATAGTCATAATGATGTAATTGGATATATTAAAAATCAACAACTTTCTCCCTTCACTTTGTTTTTAGAATGAGAAGGATTCAGAGTCTTAGTGTACTGTACCTTGGGTTTTGATAGCAGAGGTGTCACATGGCCAGATGTGTCAGCTGCCAGTGTTTACCTGATGTACAAAAGAAAAGAACATTAAGAAACTGTTATGATGGACGGGGAAATGCTGACCAGGACATCACCCTGAGTTTCTTGTTTTTGTTTTTTTTAAACACTATTTTTAAAGTCTTAAACAATTAGAGGGACTATTTTAATATCCTAGGAATAGAAGTAGCTTTTATACCAAATAGTGTTAGTTTTACATGAAACAGAATCTCTTTGTTAACACTGAAAACTAGGGGATTTAGCTCAGCATTTTGGTGGCTTGCCTTGCAAGCTCGAGGACCCGAGTTCAATTCCTGGTACCAAAAACAAAAAAAAAAAAAACACTAGCCCCCAAAAGTAAAAGCAAGGAAAAGAATTAAAAGATTTACTTGGTTTATCAGAAGCCATAAAACCCTTAGAGCAGACTAAAACCTTTACCTCCTTTGTTTGTAGATGGCTCTGAAAGATTCCTCTGTGAGTCCGTTTTCAGTTACCAGGTGGCATCCACACTTAAACAGGTGAAGCATGGTAAGCGTGAGAGCATGTCGTGCTGGACTGGCTGTGCAAGTGAGTGTACAGGGCTGGGGACACAGGTTCTGAAGCGTCATGGGTGTGGCAGAATCCCCCCAACTCAGCACAGCTATTTAAAAAGCATTCAGAGGTCTTAATCCAGACAGAATGCCCACATTCAGGCCTAAAGCTGGAGCCACAGGGTTGGTTCTATCAGGGTATCAGTTTCCTGCTCCTCTGGGATTGCTTTTTCCCTCTCCTTTCTTTTTTATTTTTGGTACCAGGGATCGAACTCAGGACCTTGCATTAACCTTCCTCTCCCTTCTGAAAAAATTTCTGGGTCCTATTGTGGCCCTTGAGTTATCATCATCATCTTCTGGACTCTGAGGCCCTGGTAGCACATGTCCTGCTCCATCAAGCCTCCCCAGGTCTTCAGTAGATGCTGGAGCTTTCTCCAGGGAAAGCAGTATGGACAGGAAAGAGCTGCAGTTGTTCGTAGGATTGAGCATAGACTAAAAATGTGCTAATTTTTTTGTTTTAGTTTTGTTTTTTTGTGGTGCTGGAAATCAAACCCAGGCCTGGCATATGCTAGGCAAGTGCTCTACTACCGAGTTTAATCCCCACTCCTGTGATATTTGTATTTTTAAATTTTTTATAAGACCTTGAAGCATAATTATTCTATTTTTTAAATTTTTTTATTACGTTTGTAATGCATATTCTTTTTTCTTTTTCTTTTTTTCGATACCAGGAATTGAACTCAGGACCTTACACTTGCCAGACAGGCATGGTGCCACTGAGCTAAATCTCCAGCCCCTGCAGTGCATAATGATTATATTCAACATGGGGAATTGGCACATGTACATAACATCCTGTTTTCCTCATTCCTTCCTCCCCTTTAACTGGTTTTTACATTGTGCGAAACATACATAGTGTCCATACATTACCCTCTGTAAGAAACTTAGTCACTGAGGCTTCCATGATGTGACTGAAGAAAGAACATGTGGTATATGACCTTTGATGGCTTAACAGCTACAAGAAAAAAGTATATATTATACAAAAAATATTCAGAGTGATCAAATCATTTTTTTGTTTTGTTGTTTGTTTTTTTGTATTTTGTTTTGTTCTGTTTTATTTTTTTGAGGCAGGGTCTCCCTTTGTAGCTCAGGTTGGCCCTGAACTCACTCTGTAGTCCAGGCTGCCCTTGAACTCCTGGCAGACCTCCTGCCTCAATCAGCCTCCTGAGTGCTGAGATTACAGGCATGCACCACCACACCCGGCCAGAATGATCGAATGTTTATATTGATCTGAACATTTCAGCCTTCATCTGTGTAGTTAGAAGCAACGAAAATAGGGCTGGGGCTGGAGCTCAGTGGTACAGCACTTGCCTAGCACAGGTGAGGCTCTTCGACTCCATCTCCACTACTGCAAAAAAACAAGGCAGTAAAGATAGAGAATGATTAGGAATGTTCCTTTTTTTTTTTGGTCCCGGGGATCAGGACTTGTGCTTGAGAGGCAAGCAAGGCAGGCAGTGGAGAACCACTAAGCTAAATCCCTAGCCCAGGAATGTTCCTAGTTTTAAACAAAGATTTTGGGGGGGGGTACCAGTGATCGAACTTAGGTCCTTGTGCTTGTTTTTTTTGTTTGGTTTTGTTGGTACCAGGGATCGAACTTGCAAACTTGCGTCCTTGCGCTTTCAAGGTAGGCGGTGGAACCACTGAGCTGAATCCCCAGCCGAGGAATGTTCCTGTTTTTAAATAAAGATTTGTGGGGGCGTACCAGTGATCGAACTTAGGTCCTTGTGCTTGTTTTTTTGTTTTGTTTTGTTTTGCTTTTTTGGTACCAGGATCGAACTTGCGTCTTTGTGCTTTCAAGGCAGGCCGTGGAACCACTGAGCTAAATATCCCTGGCCCTTAAACACAAAGATTAAAGTCCATTACTAGAATATTGGGGGGAGGGATCCATCCAGAAATACTTTTTTTCAAATAGTCATCATGTTAATGATGGGTGACGGTCTCACAGGAAGTACATTGTGGCATTGTAGTTCCTCCTTCACTCCACAGATCAGCAAGTTGCTCGGATGGAAAAACTAGCTGGTTTGGTAGAAGAGCTGGAGGCTGATGAGTGGCGGTTTAAACCCATTGAGCAGCTGCTGGGGTTCACACCCTCTTCAGGATGATGTCACCTGGATGGTCACCTCTGGGGCACAGCCGGTGCAGAGCCGATGAGGGGACGCTATACAGCTTACACAGGCACCCAGAGAGTCCCTGCTACATCGATGAACTGCTTATTTACCTCCATACTTGGTTTTTCTGTATCTGTCCACAGGCAACAAATACTTAAGTGTGTGATCTTGCAGGGAAAGTTTTTGTTTACTTGCTTGAAAAATTACTGGGAGTGGGCTGGGGATGTAGCTGAGTGCTGTTGTGCCTGCCTGGCAAGGGCAAGGTCCAGATCCCGAGTTTGATCCCTGGTACCAAGAAAAAAGAAAGTATTGGGAATCACATTAAGACAATAGGTTTCAGGTCTGGGGATTTAGCTCAGTGGTGCCGCCACCTGCCTGGCAAGTGCAAGGTCTTGAATTCGATCCCTAGTACCAAAAAAAAGACAGTTGGTTTCAGAGAACTAGGGAATTTAGGTTCAAGAGATATTTATAGGGCTGGGAGTGTAGCCCAGTAATAGAGTGCTTGCCCGGCATGCCTAAGGCCTGGGTTCAATCTCCGGTTCTCCAAAAACAGTTTTTTGGTTTTTGGGGTTTTTTGAGACAGGGTCTCACTATGCAGTTCATGCTGGCCTTGAATTCACTATGTAGCCCAGGCTGGCTTCACACTCAGCAGTTCTCCTGCCTCAGCCTTTACAGTGCTGGCTGGGATTACAGGCATGCATCACCACACCCAGCCAAAAATATATATATATTTAAAAAGCAATACTTACACAGTTTTCAGAAGTAGGTAGGACACATGGCAGAATTGGCTAGTTGCTTGGTATATGTTCTGTTGTTCATACAGCACCTGGAAATTTTCATCAGTCAAGTCCAAGTTCAGGATCTATAGTTACGTATTTGTGATCTAAATGTTCTTTTTACACATGAACATGCTTTCAACTCAGGATCTGTCCAAATGAGGAAATTTTAAATTTTCATTTTGTTCCCTATTTTTAAATATCTAATTTTATATAGATTCATTTTCTAACCTCTTCTAGATATGCCAAATGTTGGTTGTCCCTACCACAAAAAAATTGCTTTTTAAATGTTGCATGTTGCAGCAGTTGTAAAATAAAGCAGTGAGCTAAATATTTTTACAAGGTACAGCTCATTGGTGGACTCACGCAATTCTGTAGCAAATAAATCCTTTGAAAGAGCCCCAAATTGGTGTCTTTATCCTTTCAAAGTCTGAGGGATTTGGGGTAGGGAGTGGAGATCAAATTACTTTTTATAAGATTCTAAAAAATATTTCTCAGAGATCTCTGTCTTTACAAAAATGTCTGAAATAGAGCCGGGCGTGGTGGCTCATGCCTGTAATCCCTGCACTTGGGAGGCTGAGGCACGAGGATCACTGTGAGTTTGAGACCAGCCTGGGCTACGCAGTGAGTTCCAGGTCAGTCTCACTACATAGTGAGACCCTGTCTCAAAAACAAACCAAAAAAATAAATAAATAAATAAAAAATGCCTAAAATGGGGCCGGGGATTTTAGCTCAGTGGTTCTGCTGCCTGCCTCGTAAGCACAAGGACCTGAGTTTGATCCCCGGTACCAAAAACAAAAATGCCTGAATTTATCTTTACCAATACCTGAATCAGTTTTTATATTATGATAGGGGAAAACCTGGAAGGCTAACAGGTATTTTTTGTTCTCACTATGGAACCCCAGGTCCACACTGCACAATTAGAATAATTTATTATGTTGTAGGTAGTTTTGCCTTGGACAGCATTTGGCTTTGTCCTCACTAAAAACTTACTTAAGAGTTGCTTCATTATAAATCTGTATAATCCCAGTAGCAATTGGCCCTAATCTTGGGAGTTCAAATGTTAAACACGTGCTGCCTGTGCTCGCTTCAGCAGCACATATATTAACACATGCTGCCAAACAGGGAGGGTGACCACACTCGTCTGGTAAAGTCTATGTCCAGTGAAGATAAGGACCCGCTCATGGTCACAGCTCAGGCAAAAGGAAATCCTGGGACATGGGTTAGATCAGGGCTGGTGGATAATTCAGCCCACTCATAGTGAGTCAAGAGCAAATTGGAGCACAAGATGTAGCAGCCTGCAATTCTCCATTCTCCAATCTGACATTAGTACTGCTCAGCCCAAACAAGCAAGATCCATGTATGAAAGCAGTTGTCTCTGGTACTTTTAGCCCCAGTCATCTGGATGATTAACAAGGGAAATATTAAAAATACCTGAACTGCAGTGAACCCCTAAATCAGACCTTCAGTGGTACTTTAGAAGCAGTCCCTTTCTGTCACTTCATTTGTATAACCAGTACAGACACTGTATCACTTCCATCTTTGCCCTTTTGTATTTAAACTTATTTCAGAATGTTTTTGAGTTGGACATTTCTTTATATGGCATTAGAAATTCATAAGCTTGAGGTCAACACATTGCTTTCTGAAACACTCTCAGTGAGGACCTCACACACTGGTCATTCAGCCTCAAGAACAAGACCCTGGATAGTCTGCGTTGGTGGTATAGTGGTGAGCATAGCTGCCTTCCAAGACCCTAGATATTTTTTGAAGAAGGCACCTCCCTGTCTGCACCTTCCTGTTGTCATTGTGTCTCATCCTCCCCAGCTCATAATGCCATGGTTGGGGCTTGAAGGTGGACCCTGTGGCTTATCTGTCATCTCCTTTGCACTTTCTGTGCCCCAGTCATTTGCAGGTATTAATTGTAATCCTGATCGTGCTGCAGATATGTAATCCCCCCCACATGCAGAACGGAGCTTGAAGCTCAGAGCAAGACTCCTCAGCTGGATTTGGGCTCGTTAGTCATGCTCCGAAATAGAGATTCTTTTAGAAGCACCGTGTTGTATCCACCAAACCCAACCCAGAGCCTTATACAAAGCAAAATCCTAGAGCTTTTTACTTATCAGCAAAATGAATTAAGTACCTGGGAAAAATAAACCTTCCCGGGCCAGGAACAAGGTTCTGAGTTCAATTCCCAGTACCAAAAAAAAAAAAAACTAGCCACTGCCCTCCCTCTCAGGGCCTGACCAGCAAGGCTCACAAGCATGGAGGAGCGGATGCTGCTTTCTTCAAGAGCACAACAATCACCTACATCTTCCATTCTGTAGAGCAGAGCCTCTGAGGGGGAAAGTATCCTCAATGCTGGGGAAAAGCTGGATTCCTGGGACACCCACATGACCAAGGTGAGCAAGCTGTGGTTAGATGGAAGTCCAGGACCAGGACTGCACAACTTGCTGGAAGCAACTGGTGAGGGCAGCTTCTGGGCATAAAACAATACAGTTGGATTTCTTGATTTTGATGTATCTTGCAGTTGAGGACACAGCATGTAGGACATCAATACAGTAAATACAGTGTTGTAATTAACATGGCAGCTGGTCTTTGAACTGTATACCTCAGTGGTGGCGAACCTGTGGCACACATGCTGCATCAGGCTGTTCGTTATCACTGAAAGTTCTAAAAGGTTCGCCATCACTACAGCTATTTCCTTACATACTACAAAATCCAAAAGCAGAATCTGCTGGTAACAAGGAATTGTAGGAGAGAGGGACAAGGGGGTAATTGGGGGTAAAAATGGTCAAAGTATGCTGTACACATTACAGATATGTCAAAGTGAAACTATTATTCCGTGTAATATGTACTAATAAAAAGGAATTGTTTGTGTCAATCTGACATAATTCCATACAACTGTTATCTCATAGTAATGAGACAAATAGTAAACTTTAATGGTTGTACTTCCATGTAGTGAAAAGTTTCAATTTTTTTGTTACCAAGGATCAAACTCAGGACCTTGTGCTTGCAAGGTAGGTGGCAGAACCACTGAGCTAAATTCCCAGCAAAAGTTTCAATTTTCGACTTAACATTTAATTAATGAAAATTATTGTTAAAGTTCAGAGTTTTGTTTTTATGGTACTGGGACTCAAACACAGGGCACTTTACCACTGATCTACATCCCTTTTTTATTTTTGAGACAGCCCTATTTATTTATTTAGAGACAGGGTCTTGCTGTGCAGTTCAGGCTGGCCTTGAACTCACTATGTAGCCCAGGCTAGCCTTGAACTGGCTGCAATATTCCTACCTCAGCCTCCTGAGCTGGGATTACAGGCATTCACCACCGCTCCTGGCCAGCCCCCGCCCACCTTTTTCTTTTTGGTACCAGGGATTGAACTCAGGTCCTTGTGCTTGCGAGGCAGGCAACAGAACCACCAAGCTAAATCCCTGGCCCCCTTTTTATTTTTTAAAACAGGATCTTGCTGTGTTGCCCAGTTTAGCCTTAAACTTGAGATCTTCCTGCCTCAGCTTTCCAAGTAGCTCGGATTACAGGAATGTGCCACCATCCTGGTCTGTTTGTTTGTTTGCATGATCTTGCTCAGACTGGCCTAGAACTCCTGGGTTTGAGTGAGTCTCCTGCCACAGCCTCCCAGCTGGGACTAGAGGTATGTGCCAACCTCACAGTCCAGAGTTTTCCCTGAAATACTTCAGAGTGTTATTAGCTCCTTCCCATACTTGCAACTCACCTAGCAGAGGTCTAGAGCTGGAAGCCAGGTCCTGCCCAGAATTGTCTGTTTACCCACAGCCTGTAGCTCCCTTCCCCACCTGTTCCCACTCAGGGCTCCCGACACAGAAGCAGTAGGAACTGCACCCTAAGTCTGAAAGCCTTCCCTCGGTGAAGGTCAGGAGATCCTCACATCCAGAAAGGAGAAATAGCCTGTCAAGGGCCTGCGCTTTCAGGTGAACCCAAACAATACCTCATTCAGAGAAGGCCACTCCGCCTCTCCTGTCCATTTGCCAGCGCACCTCACTCTGCCCAAATATCTTGCCAGGTCTCATAATTGCCTCAAGTTATAAGACGGAGCCATTCATTCCACAAGAGATAAGTCTTAAATGACAGGTACTTGGAGAGTTACATCTTGGGTTGCAGACAAAAGGTAAATGATACCAGGTCTTTTCCTGTTTTCCTGGAGTTGAATTTGAGAGGGAGACAGCTCCACAGGAGAAGGGTCTGGGAGGCAGGAGCCTGATGGTTTACCACGGCCTGTGTGTGTGCACCAGTCTGCCCCTGAGTGGAGTTCTCAGAATGGCAGAGCTGGGAGAGATCACGTAGTTCTCCCCCAGCAGGAAGTTCAGACCTATAATAACTCATTCACTGCTGGGCCTCAGTACCTAGAATACGACCAAGCACGCAGTAGGTGTATACAGATCTTTGTATTGTTTTTGTTTTGTTTTTTGCAGTGCTAGAGAGCAAACCCAGGGCTTCATATATGCTAGGCAGACACCATACCACTGAGCTATATCCCTAGCCTTGGTTAAGAAAGTAGGATATGCATCTGCATTTACTTTTTTTTTTTTTTTTTTTTTTTTTTTTTTTTA